TTCTTGATTATTCACCTTGATTCACACTGTGTTTTATTTCAAAAGCTAATGACTACACAAGTTGGTATTATATGCTTTTTATTGCACTAAGCACCAATGGTTTTCTGTTGTAAGGCTAAAATAGGAAATAATATTTTCAATGCAGAAAAGAATATAGCCTGTGAGTGCCACATGGCAGGTAAAACATTTAAAATGTATTCAAATTGTCCTTGAGTCACTTGGACTCAACGGGCATGTTCCAGGTTAAAATAGAAGTAGAACTGCCATTGTTTTCTCAGAGTGCAAGGTGCGACTACTTGAACTATTTAGATCCACAGTGGTCAGATCACAGTAAAATGCCTTCTGTAAGAAGCAGTGAGTTTTTAGCTGAACAGATGTTTTGCTTTCTCTACTTTCAATGAAGCAACCTCGAAGTTTCTGAAGGGAAAATCCACAATATTTTACTAACAAATCTAACAAAGCCAATTACCATTATTTCTCCGTTCTTCTTCAACCACTGTGTGCATAAGGATGCACTTAAGAGAGCAAGTCCAACGAGCACTGTGATTGGCATTAGCATTTAGCTCTATGGTAACCAGTTATAACACAAACCACCCACAAGAACCAGCATAATGTGCTCAGGATAAGCCCATGTGGTCTAAACCAACAACCAGTATAGCAGCCTGGCAATGAAAATCGAATTAGTTATAATGCATGTTCCCCAGATGAGGTCCTGGTTATGAAAGGAAGAATACTAGAGAATACTGTCTCAGTGAAAGAAAAGAGTTTAGGTGACTGTGTTTAGTCTTTCTCTTCTTTAACTTCCCTGAACCCTTCAAAAAGGGTCAACTCACATTTCTAGTCTTCTCTGCTTTTCTTTGAGTCAGCTCAACATCCTTGACAAGCTCATAAGCATACACTACCCATACGTACTGCCAGGCTTCTTTCTCACAAAGTGTCTTTGGGCTGAAAAAAAATGTAAGAAGCTAATGTAGTTAGAAATAAATAACAACATATTTATAACTGAGAGGTAAAGAGCACATAGTTAATCTAATAATAGTTAATCTAAGCCTTAACAGATCTGACTTAGTTCTGCATAATAATAGGAAACTTAAATAGCTATCTAACAGTGTAAAGTGGGGAATGTAATTCTTTAAGATAATGCTTTTTGAAAACTAATTTCTACATGAGTAATTTTAGATAAGTAATTTCTCCCTTTCTGTTTAAGTCTTCTACTCTTAGAAGCAAAGCTATTAATAGGATTAACTGGCAAATACTATGATTAATTACTTAATATTCAAAAAATACTAGAGTCTTCTAGGATTGTAATGGTATAGAGAGGCTGGAAAAACTATTTCATGTTAAAGCTACATTTAGCTAAGAAATTTTCAGCCTGAGAAAGAATATACAGATTTGTTTCCTGGACAATGGTTTGAAATACTCATTGCCATTTCAGGCATTACTGAATGGTGGCCTGTTTCAGGACTTTTCAGACATCAGCAGTAAGGGCCAGTTTCCACAACAGTACCCTGACTGCAGGAGATAAAAGATTGTTTATTCTTTTTTCACAGGGGAGGAAAACAATGACAAAAGCAGGAAGGCAGCAGTAATGCAGAAATCTGGAGGTGATGATAAAGGGTAGGGAGAATGGATAAGGTTGTTCAAATAAATCCATTCTGGCCAAAATCAGGCAGGTGACAAGCAAGTATATAGGACATTCAATTGAAGTGCAAATCATCAGTTTTTAATTTAGTAATTAAATCCCAAATTTCATTGGGTGTGATAAAAAGCTATTTGAAATACAGAACACAAACTGAAGTATTTCAAACCTTTAGAACACAACTTTGCATTGTTTTCCCTGCGTGCACTATACAACCCTTAAAACCAAGAAAGAACACTGCATTTGTTCAAAAGCATTGCTGCTGCACTCTCTGAAGTACACCTAATGGATACTGACATGTTACTGCTTCACTCTTGACATCCTATGAGCAGTCAGAGCTAGTCAAATAGCAAGCTGTTATAACCCCTGGCTTGGAGAAAATTTCAGTTAATGACAAACAGTAAAAAATAGCACCTGAGAAGAAGGTAAACTTAAAATGAGAATTGCTTAACAGAACACAGCAGATGAATGCATGGATTTAAACATTAACTGTATGAGGAATAATTCAGTTGCAAACAACTAAAGAGACTTTTCACAGCATTTTACTTTGAAAGAACTAGTTTTGTGGTTCAGCTGATTTAATTAATAAAACCCCCAACATTTTAGAAGGGACTGAAATAGCAGTGAGCACACACACAAACACACTGCCCCCTGCAGCCAGGTCTCTGTTAGAATCTCTCACATCTTAGGTAATGTAACAGTATAACCCTATCAGTTCCATTTCCCAAGAAGTTTAATTAAGCAGAATACAGCTAAACAAATCGTCATTTATTCGTGGATCAACCCCCCACCATTTGCTGTCACGTAGTTTTAGGCATTCATTACGAAGGCAAATACAGCAAGAGTTAACCTCACCCTCCAAACACCCTCATTTATCAGTATCATTTAGTTGGTGAACAGATCTCTTCCATCACTCTTAACTACTCCAATTTTCACACCATTGCCAAGTCCTCCTGGTATTCATTTTAGTAAATCTTTTAAACAGGAGCAAATCAGTAAAGACCTTAGAGACAGCAACATAATTAATAACTTGATTCACAGAAAACTGTAATTTTAGACAAATACAGTCTTTTAACAGATCATACCAGACAGGAAAAGTCAACCGCATTCTATATTAGACTTCAGGCAGAAACTCCATAGCATAGGACATGCTGCAACTCATAGGAGGAAGCACATCAGTTCTCAAGCCATAAAACTAAATTTTCTAGTCTTTCTACACACACTTCTTCAGTAATTTAGATTAATAAGGTTCTTTCTTTGCAGAAACAGCATATCATATTCAGGGACAAGTATTTAAAGGGAGTTATGGACAAAAAGTTGTATGGAAAAACAGTAAAGCTTTTAATTCTTCACTCCTTTTACCAGAAGATGGATTATAAAAGAAGAAATCTTGCCTATTCCAAACAAGCCATTCTTGTTCATACAAATATAAACCAGTATTTTATTTAGCTTTTCTTCTCTGGACAACTACAAACTACCCCAAATCAAAGATCCACATTTCTAAACCACTAGCATCAGGAAATTTTAAAAACTGATTTCAGGTTCAACTATTTCAAGTAGCTTTATTTGGAGAGGCAGGGCTGGATATATATCCAGAAGTACATGCCAGAACTTGTGCCATCTTTATTTCTTTTTTGCTGCATTTTATATTCTTGCAATTTGCCCAAACCAAGAAATTCACTAAAGCTTATTTATATAAATCTAAGGTCTAAGGTAACTGTTATGTTGAAACAGTAGCATTTTATATTGCTTTCTAGGCACTGCTAGAAAGCCATATCAAATAATTTTAAAATACCAAATTAATCACAGAAAACGAGGTATTTTTTCCACAGAACTTTGGTTCATAAACTGATTGTCAGCTTAGAATTGTGAATAAAAATATTACAAGTTAATGTTTCAGCTGTTGCTATAGAGGCTGGTACCTCCACAGTGCTGTTGCTATAGCTCCCCTGCCACCAAGATCATATCTCTTTATAATAAACAGGTAAATATACACAAAGTGTTGAGATGTACAGATATTCATCTATACACACAGGCAAGAGTAAACACTGCAAACTTCCTCATGAAAATACTTTTTGCAATAGTCACTAGATCAAGAAGGATACAGAATCTTGTACTTCTTCCCCACAAGGAACTACATAGACAAGTATTTTTATAGCATACATCTTTATTACTTGTATTTAAACAGTATAAACCTCTCAGCATCTACTCAAAAGAACATCTTAATAGAGAAAAGTTCTAAAGTAATAAAGAAAGCTTTTATACCAAAATATTAAATTTTAAGAATGCTTAAAAAGGACTGGCCATTCCAGTGAAATGAAGTTATCCTCCAGCTTACACTCAACTGAAAAGCTCATAAAAAGGGAACCTGGATTGGACTCTATTTTTCATCTCACGTGCCTCTTCAGGCAGCTGATTTCTCAGTCATTCTGAAGAGTATTGTGTGTTTACAGACTACTCAAAGGTGGATTCAGAGGAGGGGCAAAAAGATACCCAGAAAAAATATAAGCTTTCATTTTCACTGAACTGCAGTGCTTTAGGTTGACTGCCTGCTTCTTCAGAAAAAGGAACCTTTTGGCATTTGTCAGTAGGCTCAAATATCTTGAAATGCTGAAAAGGTGAAACAAAAAACTTTCCCTGTGCTGCCTTCCTATCTGATCTTTTGTCTCATATGTTCCCCTCCAGGGATGCACAAGAAATTTCTCTGAATAATTCATAAGCACCTAGGTAGAAAACAGCTTCTACTTCTGAACAAAAAGATGGGGTAAAAAGCTGATTGCAGCTGTTCTACTCTGCCCTATCTGTAATAAGAAAAGAAAGTGATTTTTCTAAGACAGTAAGCACAGAATATACACATGTACACATATACGAAGTATATAAACAAACATGCATTTATGCTGGGGAGGGCACCTTTGTACTTAAAGCTACACATGCCTTTGACAGCAACTGATTCTCTAAGAAATCATATAGAATGAAGGTAACCAATCAATCAACACGTAGAATTCATCTTTTAGTTTGGAATTAGAAGAATGACTGCTCTTTCCTCTAGACTACAGTATCTAACTCTTCTCTTATTATGAGCCATCCTTACTGCCCAACAGCACTGAAAGTTAGGCAGATGCAAATGATTTATTTTTCTGCAGTCTCTGTTAGGACTGAAATAGTTTTATATGTCAGCAGATGCTTTTTATGTTCCAACACACACAGAAGAGAGAATAAAAAGGCAGAAAAGATTGTTTCCAAAGCTATTCCGCTAATAAGAAAACTCATAAGTTATGGGTTCCTTGCACAAAGTTAAGGTTTCACAATACAATATCATAAATTGAGACAAAAGTACTTGGAAAACGGTCTTAAGACTTACCAGCCTCTGCATGCTTTTCACATGAGTAGGACTAATAGATAAGGCCTCTTCATACCAGCGTTTGGCTTCATCGATATTTCCACGAAGTTCAGCCACCTGACCTCTCATATAGAGAACATAGTGTGACATCGGAAAGAGATTAGCTGCTTCTTGGGTACACGCTGTGGCCTCAGCAGGCTTCCCAATTCCTATGTAGACTTCAGCTGTGGAATAAATATGAGGACCAATGAATGATTCTTGCTTCACCATATCATGACTAGATGTTGTCACATGTGCTGTATTTGTAAATAGTTTCATTCTAAACAAAGGCTATTTTCCTCAAAAAATTTTGCAGTTTAAGAGAAATTATTACATAAATCATTTTAAACAAATTATTTTTTTAGGAATGTTGCTTTTCTAAATGTAATAGGAGTTTGAACCTCTAAACGACTGTTTTAATCACCAGAAGACTCTTTATAATTTATTTTTAACTGGTCTTTTAAAAAAATTTTAGTTTTATTTTTAAGATGTGAGCATGCCAGTATTCCAGTACTATTTAAGAACAGAAAACCCAACACAAAACAGCACACAGAAATCTTTACAGTAGGTAAAAGGATACAACTAATTACAGGATTTTCAGGGAGCAGTGGCAATTGCTCCAGCTACCAACCACTAAATGGCAAGCCTGGTTCAAAGTTTCCCACTTCAGAGCATTTAAAAAGAAATATAATGTTATTTGATATGAAAAGTTTCCTGGTTAAATTAGCAGAACATTTGAAATGCTTTATCAGCATTCTGATCTGACAAAACTTGTTCATATTTCTAAGCATTTTATCCAAGATATCCTCCAGGAGCAAAGAATATTTAACTCTGTAGCTTAAAAAAAAAAAAAAAAAAAAAAAAAAAAGCAGATATATTTAACATAACATAAAGCACTCCTGAAAGCAGTTGAGTAGCCTGACACACACTTGTCTAAATCAGATTGATTGACTATAGGGGGAAAAAAAGGTTGGTTCAGTAAGTGATTAACAACTAACAACAAGGAAGTATTTGCCTTCAATAGCTCTTACAGCACTCTTGAAACTGCTATTTCACTATCCTGCTGGATTACCTCAATCTCTTACTGAAAGAGTGGGAGAAGAGATACTAAATGAAAGAAAAATATATTAAAGGTTCTCAGGTGCGTTATCTATTTCTTTTATGTTGGTGTAGACCCTAGAAAAATTGAGCTTCAAAGTAATTGTATAACTGCATTCTACTGCATCACACTGTACAACAGTCTTACAGATTAAATCAAAAAGCTCCATCAAAACAGCAAAGTGATCTATTGCTTTTCAAGACATGCTTCTCACTGTACAGTAAAGGCCACTCATCTTGGTTTAAAGGCTGTCAGATCAGAATCTCACACTACAGTATAGTGGATTTGGGATTATGCCTAAAACTGAATGGGAGTGATGTTTGAGTGACTTTAAAGGATCCTTCGGGATAACTGCATTAGACTTAATAGTATCCCTAACTAGTGAACTTCAGTACAGTGATACCTGCTATGAATATTCATAATTATTTTCATCAAAATCAATTTATAACATTGACTAACAAAAAAAGGACTTTCAAGCCGTTGGTGAGTAAGCACAACTTAAAGGTCCTATAATTTTCTGTTTTTTCAAACTGATTTTTGTAGGGTTGCTGAAGCAAATTATTTTCTTCCCCTAAGATCTGATCCTATTTATGGGACAATGACTTTTTTTTTTTTTTAACCAGAATAGCATTATTTTGCTCCTCAGTTGACTCAGTCATTTCACAGAACACATTCTACCTAACATAAATAGTATGTCCATGTGGATGTATGGATTAATGCAGTTTATTTTTAGAAATTAATTAAATGCTTTTTGATGGAAAAATGTCTCATCCACGTGAAGGACTAATACATGAAATTGCAGATCCAGCAACAGTTTTTTTTCCTCCTAACTCCAAAAGAACCACCTCTTCTAGTCAGAGATGGTACTGTGTAACTAAAGAATAGCAAACCTGGAAGATAACAAAGGGATAAAATACTGAAATAAAAACCTACATTTGGGAGAAGTTAAATATTTCTAGGATTTTACTTTTACTAGCTGTTCATAGAATCCAAAGAACAAGTTGTAGCCGTAATATGAGAGCTGGACAAAACAGCGTATGTGTGAATAGTACTGAAAGGGGTGGGTTTTTTTAAAGAAACCTGAAATATTTTGGTTTGGGTATTTCATGCTTCAGTGCTTTTCTAAAAGCTATATGGTCAGTACTGCTACACGAGAAACAAGATTTTAGTGAGTATAAAATATACTATGTTATTTAAATGCTAACCATCTGAGCTTTCCTGGTTTTACCGTCCCTTCTCCAGCATCACCAGACTTGAAAAACAGTTTTAAATACATACTCCCAAGTTGCTCAGTGAAAAGATATTAGGAAAAATATAATTTACACAGACTATAAGAAGTACTAAGTAAAAACTATAATTATTAGCAAATAATATATAGAATTAAAAAATACTTAAGTAGGTGATTATCTGCTTCCACAATAATTCTAGACTGAAAAAATAAGCAGAGATTGGCTAATTTACCTGGCTAATTTACCAGACCACAGTTGAAATTCTGTATTCCTTGAGGGGAAACAAGTATAGTAGCAATGGCTTTTAACACTACCTAATAGAGACTGCAATACTGCTTATAATCTAGCCTCATGTTACTGTCAGAGATACTAAATCTTGCTGTTCTGCTTACTAATTGCATTAGAGAAACTTCACAATTAACAGACCTTCCTAAAAGTATTAAATTTAAAACAAAAGAATTCCTTTATGTTTAAAGTTATAACAGCATTATTTTTAAAGTAATTTTCTCTACTAGAAATTATGCTATTAATCCCTCCCCAAGTAAAACACTGCATCATCCAGGGAATCAAACAGTTAAATGTGCCGTAAGTCTAAAAAAGGAACCAATTTCCCAATGGTAAATCTTCACTTTTATTTAAAGAACATGTGCTGTGAGGCGTTAAGTAATTTTATCACTGCAAATAACCCATGTATACTCATGAAGATACCTTCCAGAATATCTGATTGTGCTTCTGGGAGAAAACTTTATTCTTAATGTTACTATAGTAAAAAGCCTTTCTCAAGGCAGGACAAGTAGCTGAATAGCAGGATACCTAAACACTCTGAAATGCAGCACGAATCACCAGCCTGAAGTATCAAGAACAGGATCATTCCAAAGTCAAGATGTAGACTTCATGTTGCAGTACCTTCTCTGAAAGCAAACGGAAGCTCTCTTTAGCCTCATTGCTTTCCATACACGAAGAGTCAAAGCACTCTTCCTACTTTGTTGTGTCCCTCCCCTGGATCTTTAACACGTTAGTTCATCCTCCAACCCAACTCTCTCCTCCTTCCCACCCATGCTTCCTCCTGCTTGGAATGAAGAATACGTCCTACAGACCACACTTGCTGAGATAGATCATAAGAGTGGAAAGTGGACTGTGCAGCAGATTGCAGCAGCACACCACCCATGTGATGCAAACGTGACTAAGTTGTGAACTAATAAGGAATCAACAAAGAGTGTCCAGACCTCTCCTTTGTGAGTAAAACAGTAGCAGTCACTTGCATGGACTGGGTAAGCAGCAACACAACATGACCAACAAAAATTAAAAGACAGAAAATAAATTGTGGAACAGGCTGTCACAGAAGGTTGAGAAATTATCAGCATTACAGATGTTAAAAGTTACTATGGATATGGCTGTGATAGTTTCTAAATACTTAAAATCAATGAAAGGTAGGTGACTACACTATGCCCTGGTGGACTTTGCCTTGTTCATATCTGTGTTGCTTTCGAGGAATCCTTCCACCCCCAAATGAGATTGCTCTTTCTTTACAATGTTTAAAAGTTATAACAGTACCATCATTGCTCTTTCCTTCCAATCTTCTGCACTTTTACCCTAAAACACTAATTAATAACTGGGAGCCATTGCCCTGTAATGACTTTCACACTATAAAACTGTTACTGCAAAATAGGTAAATTAGAATGCTAAGAAATACAGCACTGTTTTGTTTAACATAAACATGAAAGAAAAAAAATAATTATGGCACTGAAAAATGCTCAAGTCTGAGAGCAGACCAAAGCAAACCAATTGCTGAGTTCTAAATTACACCCTTCTGATGCAAGTATCAATAAAAACAATTGCACAGCGTACATTTTAAACTGTGTAAAAATACACTGGATCATAATTTTCTGGTTAAAATTTTATATAACAGCTAGTTGTGATATTGCATTTAGCTTGAGGCTTGAAGCAACATAAAAATACTAAGTTGACTCAAGATGACTCCACATTTAGAAAAGCAATTTCTTTTAGATTAAGGAAATTAGAAGGAAGAGAACTGAATGAGAGCTTATTATCACAGCTGCAAGGGACAGGTTGTTACTACTACCCTTCTTTTCCACATATGCAGAGTTATTTATTTTCAATGATAAAGCTTTTCTAGTTGCAGGAACTATTCAGTAATCTTACAAACATCTTTTTCCAACCTGGAGAAAATTTGATCTGCTAAGTGGTAACAGATTCTGAATGAAACTAACAGATTTTTGCAAGTCCTTAGGATAGCAAGAAAGGGGAGGGGAAAGAAAAAGGAAGAATTTTACTTTCACACTACCTGCATGAAGCCATATTTGAGCCAGAGTCATCCAAGGATGCAGGGGACCTTGTTTAGGGGCACTGCTCTGAAGAGAGGAAGCAACCTCAGACAGTGCTTGCTCCACTCTGGAAGCTGCTATTGATGTAGCATGGACTGAACCTGTAGAGTAATTAAGAAAAATACCATTGTAGAAAGAATGAAGGTCACACACATTGCATAAAACATTTAATCGTAACCCTTCGCATAATAGGTTTTACCCCAAACTCCTCAAGATTTAATTTACATGTATCATTTTGGAGAAGTTTTTTGAAATGTCAGATTAATTTGCCTTGTTATGAAAGCTTTTATACTGGTCTGAAAGACTATAAAAAAACCCACACAGAACATTGGTAACTATACCTGACACATTCTTGGGTTGCTACTATGAATATTCTCTATTATACCTGACACCTCGTTTCTGGCAATGTACAATCCAAAAAAAAGATTTGTGATGGTACTGTACACTGTAATGTTCAGGTTGCTGCATGCATTTTGATGTTAGTAATTGCTATGTCTTTCCACAGAGTGCAATTAGAGGACTATTTTAAGGCTAATAACAGTACCAAAAAACAGAACTAAAATATACAAGATGATCACAACATACCCCATCACAAATACACAATTAAGTTGCACTGAATGTAAACCTTAGCTAATCAAGAAGCCTGAGTTAAAATGCCTTGTGGCAAAAAAGTCCCTTGCATAAAGAACATTCCAAGAGTATACTATGTGAAGGATAATTCTCATAAAATGAAGCATTTATGAGCGAGATTAGAATATCACTGGCAAACACTACTCTTTTCAAAGTACTAGAAATAAAAAAGCTTCTATGACTAGAGAATATCTAATGGCAACTGTACTTTGGATAGCCAATTACTGATTTTATTTTTTTTTAAATCGACTGTGAATATTTTAAGCTATACTCTTTCATGCCATCTAAGCTTCAATGTGTCTCTAGTTGTTTTATAATTATAACTGACTAGGCCTCATTAATAATAGAAGTTAAATATTACATATTGGATCAGATGAGAAGTATTCTAAACCCATCAGCATATCTGTAATGGTCAACAACGGCAGGTACCCCAAAATAAAGTACTGAAACCTATACAGGTTGAACTGCACCCCACAAGCTTATCCTCATCACTAGCATTCAAGAAATAAATTAAACCTTTGTTCTCAATATCACAGATTTTCTAAAAATTTTAACAAGAAGGGGTTTGCCACATAAAACATACATTCTTAAGTGTGACAACATAAACAGCAAACCAGAAAAGAAGAAATTCCTAGTACACAGATCAGTGGGAAGAGGAAGTTTGTCTGAAAGTGTGCGTCATGTTCCCCTTAACTGACAGAAACAAGGGAAAAGCAGGACAGGATGTAATTAGCATTTCATTTGTCATTATGAACAATGAAATACCCTGAAGATCTGAAACAGTATCTGGCTGTGGAGTTTGCTTTCCTTTACTGGCTGATGAGACAACTCAAACTCCAGCTTGCAGAGTTGAACATTCACTGAAGTTTTTGTGTGAGTTATTTTTAAGGCTTAACTTCTGAAGAAATATAAAAAGGAAGTCTAAGCAAGAAGCACGTGAAGTGTGTTCCAAGAAAAATACCAGCAAAGGTACCATAAATAAGCACTAGTGAGTGGTAATCCTTTTCTTGTCTGACATCCATTGCTGTAAACGCACATCACTACAGCCTGTCACTTGCTAGCCTTCCAGGGACTAATAGTGAAAGAACCTCCTAATTTTCCTGGAAGAATTTGTAAAGAAAAGGTATGATTCACAGACACAAAGGATACCATTTAAACCCTTCCTTTTGAAAAGCAGGTATTCAATTTAGTATTAAAAAGGGCCTATATTTTCTATTATTTAAAGCAAGGACTCTGGCTGCTAGCCAGGCCACAAGTAATTTCATACAGAAAGTATGCTGGTGCATTTTAAACCTCAAGTACATACAGTAATATATTATTAAAAATTTTTGTATATCAATTTCTATATAAAAAAGAAACCATACTGTGATAAAATTCTTATGAGTTGCAGTGCCACCTATATTAAAATTAAAACTAAGTGGTTACCAGGTGCTTTCTATGGTAATTAACTCCTATCCTGGACTTCATTCTGTGTGGCAGAAAAAATAAAAAACTTTAAAAAAAAAATTCTAGAAATTATTTTTCAAAGTGTTACTATTCAAAATGCTTATATTCCCCACATAGGAAAAAAGTATCCCTTAACATATTGCAGCAATTAAGTTCTCTGAAGAAAACACATACATAGACAAAGTAAGCCTTCAAGTGTCCTTACTTCAATCAAACTACTAGAAAATAGTTACCTCCTGTCTTCACTAAATTAATACAGATGATATAAAACCATATTCTAAATTAATCATGAATATTAACAATCTAAAATTCAAGGTGGACCAATTAACTGTTTTAGAAACTCAGACTGCAGATTATTCAACATAATCAACTAAATCTAAGCTGCCTCTGAACAATATCCCAAATAAGTGGATTCTTGGGGCTTAAGTTTGAAAATCGATGTTAAACAGCATACAAAGAAATTTGTGTAATCTTCTGCAGTGTGTTTGGAAATCCCAGCCTTTGAAATCCTTCAGCTTGTAGAGGACTCAAGTATGTTGCAAAACAGCATCAAAGCATGACAACTGGGCTTTTTGTTTCTTTAAAAACCCTCCTTGCAGTGTTTACTAAGAGAGGTATCAAGCACAGAGCTATACAGTTTCCAAAAGGAGGAGGGATGACCTCCAGTACAGGCCTGCAGATCAAATCAGCACAGCCACTGTATCATTTATCATGCTTTTACATCTTTGCTATTTTTTTTTCTTTCATTCTTTCTTTCAGGGTTGTTTTTTGGTTTGGGTTTTGGTTTTTTTTGGTTGGTTGGTTGGTGTTTTTTGGTTTGTTTGTTTGTTTTTAATAACAGTAATCTTTTGACACTGCCCAATCAGGCATCTTTCAGGTACACTGCACTCATGCTGACAGCTCTAACCCATAAACCCCTAAATACTTCTTTAGTATTGCCACAATTAGCTGTCAACTGACTCATTCCTGGCTCCTTCTGTTAGTAAGAAGAAGTAGAATTAGTAAGCTTTCATTTTGCAGACAACTAAAAATCATTTCAGGATCCTGTGTACCAAAAAACCTTCTCTGACCTTCCTCCAAATTTTATTCAACCCTTTTCTTATTGGAACTAATTTATCTTAACTATTTGTTCCTTGTTCTAACCCAGGGGTCCCCAGATTCAGATCTTTATAGTCACATTACAACTGTAAAATATATAGTAATTTCAACTACAAGTGGTAAAGATACATAATGGTTTGTAAGGTAGGGAGGCTCTGCAGAGAGACCTGAACAGGCTGGAGCCATGGGCTGAGCCCAACTGGAGGAGTTTCCATAAGGCCAAATGCCGGGGGCTGCCCTTGGGCCACAACAACCCCCAGCAGCGCTACAGGCTTGGGGAGGAGTGGCTGGAGAGCTGCCAGTCAGAGAGGGACCTGGGGGTGTGATTGACAGCCGGCTGAACAGGAGCCAGCAGTGTGCCCAGGGGGCCAAGAAGGCCAATGGCATCCTGGCTTGTGTCAGCAATAGCGTGGCCAGCAGGGACAGGGAAGGGATCTGACCCCTGTACTCGGCACTGGTGAGGCCGCACCTCGATTCCTGTGTTCAGTTTTGGGCCCCTCACTACAAAAAGGACATTGAATGACTCGAGCGTGTCCAGAGAAGGGCAACGGAGCTGGTGCAGGGTCTGGAGCACAGGTCGTACGGGGAGCGGCTGAGGGAACTGGGGGTGTTTAGTCTGGAGAAGAGGAGGCTGAGGGGAGACCTCATCGCTCTCTACAGCTCCCTGAAAGGAGGTTACAGAGAGCTGGGGATGAGTCTCTTTAAGTAAAAAGCGACAGGACAAGAGGGAATGGCCTCAAGTTGCGCCAGGGAAGGTTTAGACTGGATATTAGGAAGAATTTCTTTACAGAACGGGTTGTTGGGCGTTGGAAAGGGCTGCCCAGGGCAGTCGTGGATTCCCCATCCCTGGAGGTGTTTAAGAGTAGAGTCAACATATCACTGAGGGATATGGTGTAGTTGGGAACTGTCAGTGCTAGGCTAATGCTTAGACTAGATGATTTTCAAGGTCCTTTCCAACCTAGATGATTCTGTAAGAAACTGAGGGTAAAAAGTGGAACTTGAAGTCTGATCGAGGCCTCACAGATCCTATGTAGTCATTTATCTGGTGGCTCCCTGTTGGTTTTGCCATAAGCTCTGCTCTCTCTTGACAGCCTTATCTGTACTTTTTTTTCTTTGGTCTGTGCACAGTATCCTTGGACAAACACAAACATATGCTCACTTTCAGTGTTACAATTCACTCAGTTGTAGCTTCCTTCAAATGCTCAGACAGATTAGCAGTAATTTCTGGTTTAAAATTTTATCATATCTTTCACGCACACGAATATCCTTGCTCTTCCCTGACAACTTCTAGACCTGCTGTTATAGCGTGACACTTAAGAAGCAAGAAAAAAATCCCTCAAAATACCAAAAGCAGCAAAGAGTGTTTATTCTGAAATATAAAAGCATGAGCCCTGGAAAAGTAACACCAAATGGATCCTGGCTACTCACTTTCATTTGTTTAGTTTTGTTCTGAAGACTGTTATACTAAAAAGGCCAAGTGTGAAACAGCGACTGCCATTGCAATATCTAGAATTCACTACTTAAATTACTTCTTAATTAACATCCAGAACCACTATTACATGCACACTGCAAAGTGTGATAAATGGTCTTAAGCATAGCAAGATTTTTCTAAGACAAAAAGGTATAACCTCCCACTCAAAGTTCCTATAATAATATTTGTCCATAATTTAGTTTCTGCTCACCATACTAACATATTATCTGCAACAATCATGGTTATGTCAATGTTTCAATTCAATCTCAAATAGAAAACTGACCAACAGCCCTGTACAAGCACAATTTAACAAAGTAGTTATCTCACAGAAACCTTTCTTTTCCAAGTCACACCTACAGTTCTGCTTCTGTGAAAAACGAAGTGTTTGACTCTCTCTTCAGGCTTTTCTTATGATAAATTTTACAGGAAACCAATCTTTTAAATACCATTTACAAG